CAGAACGTCCCCTGGGCTGTGGGGAAGACCATGGTGAAGCAGGCTGTCCCCCTGCAGTCCATGGGTGTGACAGGGTGTAGATGTTCACCTGCAGCCCATGGAGGACATCACGGCAGAGCAGGGGTTTGTAGTTCGTAGAAAGCCCGTGCCGGAGCAGGCTGGATGGCAGGACTTTTGTGATGCCACAGAGGACTCGCGCTGAAGCAGTTTCCCCCTGAAGGACTGTACCCCATGGAGAGATTCACTTTGGGGCAGTTTGTGACAAATTGCCCCTTGTGAGAGGACTCATGTTGGAGAAAGGTGTGTGAAGACTGTGCCCCATGAGAGGGACCTCACAATGGCCCAGGGGAAGAGTGAGGAGTCCGCCATGGAGGAAGAAGCAGCAGTGGAAATGACATTGGATAAACTGACCACAGCCCCCATTCCCTGTCCTCCTGTGCATCTCAGAGGGAGAAGGTGGATAAACTGGGATTGACGTTAAACTCGGGAAGAAGGGAGGGAGGGGGGAAAGGCGTTATTTTTTTTTTTCCAAGATCTGTTTTTATTTCTCACTACTCTGATTTGTTCTTTAATAAATTTAACTAATCTCCCCAAAATTGAGTCTGTTTTACCTGGGACAGTAGATGCAGGTGATCTCCCTGTCCTCATCTCAAACCATGGGCCCTTCATTATATTTTCTCCCTGTGTCTAGCAGAGAAGGGGGCAGGGTTATAGAGCAGCTGTGTGAGCACCTGGCCACTGGCCAGGGTCAAACCAACTGACCAATGCAGTGTCTGGTCTGTGATGAATATCTATATTATCTGTAAATGTGTCAGATGTACATCTCTGAAATTAAGCTGTTTCATTAAAAATAATAGATGCAGTCTCAGTAACCATGTAGGAAAAAAACCTTTGTAAATCAGAGAAGTCAGCTCCAGAGGAAAGCTGCAGAACTTGGGCTGACGAATATTCATTGCTGTTTTCACAAGAAGTGACCATTATTGAAACATTGCAACTTTAACCAGTTAAATTACAAATCCAAGTAAAGTATCTGCTCATAAGGAAGTAAACTCCAGTTGAAATGCTTCATTTCCTAACCCACATATGTGCTTTTACTCTCTTACATCCCTTCTTCACTGAAAAATACCATCACTGTAAATCACTTGTGCCACAGCTTGTTAAGAAAAATGTGTTTGTTCAGGAACTTGACCTGGTAGTATAACTTTTGTGACAGACAGTAAAGTACAGTACCGAATCTGACCCTGGGCTTCCTGAGTAATCTTTCTGTATTGTAAACTGAAAAGAATTCTCCTCCTGAGTATTTTTAGGTCAGTTAATGACATTAATAAAACCTCAGTCTCTTCTGGCTCTATGGGATCTGCACATCACTGAAAAGTGAGTTGCTCGTACTCACTGACAGGGAGATTCAGTTTTAAGTTGTGCTCTTCACTGATTCCTGTTTGAAATGAATAAGCAGAAGCTTGAGGTTTTTTCCCTATGGAAGCTTACCATTTCAGGATATGCCCTATGGAATTTGTATCTTACACAATGTATTGTAATATATTGTTCTGTGTATTCAGCTCCCTTCTGATGAAAGCACAGAAAAGTATTTATGCTCTTTTGTGTAATCTGGATTTCAAAAAAATATAAACGATCCCTACAGCTACAAATCTGGTAGTTAACCCTTGAAATTATGAAATGTTCACTGTTTATAATGTTAAGTATTTTAGCCAAGGCTCAATTTATGAAGAGTCTCATTTGTGTCTTCTTAACTCCATGTAAATCTATGTGCATATCTTAATTGAAGGCACATTTGGAGGATTATTTGCATGAAAACTGCTGATGAAGACATGTCAAAATAGGAAAGTTATTTTAAGACAGCTACAGTAGGGTATCTTTCTATCCAGGATGCTTGTTAGCTCTGACAAGTCTTTGTTAATTTTGTCTGTGTGTTTTCAAGAATCTTTGGGCTCCAACAAAAGCTAATAAAACCAACTATGAATGCTTTAAATATAACTACATTTCAGATAATATTAATCAGAGGAGGACTATCTATGTAATGTCAGTACAGAAGCACACACATTTGTTGCTTTGTGCTGCACAGTAGCATTCAGAGGAAGACTAGTTCCCTCATCGAATTTCCATACATTTGAACTGCTCTTGCCCAGAGTTAGGGTAAATTGCACGACAAATGTTATGATCATCAACATCCATTCCAGGGAATCAAAGTAGCTGCTGACCTTTAAATGTGAACATATTCACATACCAGTCTACTAACCATCTGGTGTGACCTGACATTTCCATTTCTGGCACTCCTGACTCCTGCAGCCCCCCTCTACAACATTGCAAATGTGATGATCTGTGCCCATGGTGACTGCCATCTTCCTCTGCAAAATGTCCTCAGGGAAGTACACTTTGATTCCTCTGGCCCTTCCCCTATTTCCATGTCTTCTCTGCTCCCAAAATCCCCACTGAACTGCAGCCCTTCTTACCAAGGGTGTTAAGGGAGACACCAAATCCAACAGAACTGAGATCTCTCCTCCCCAGCCAATATGCCCAGCCAGAAACTATCCCGGGTGATCTCTCCATCCCAGTCCCAGAGACGCAGCTACCACTCTTCCTGCTTGCAGGTCTGTCCTGTAGCAAGGTTGAGTGTGTATCCAAGAGATATGATTCCAACACACACACACACACACACACACACATGTCCCTAATGAGGCTGGCTGCACAGACTGTCTCACACAGAGCAGCACGGGTAGCACAGCACACCTATAATGTTACCCATACTCAGACAAGCACAGATAGCTCCATCCTCTTCCTCCCCTCCAGCCTACAAGACTGGAAGTTCTCTGGTGAAAATATGTGTGCTCTCCTTCTCTGCATCCATAAACAGACCCACATTCGCAGCCCTCCTGAATGTTAGCACAGCCCCCAAACCTGTTTAATATCCATGCGTGGACCTGGGGTCCTTGAACTCGTGTGCAGGTCACCTCTGACTTGACAGTTACAGCAATGGGATGCTTGCTAGTGAAACACAAGCATATGCTCACAGACTCATCACATAAACACTCCCACATTCACCGATCTCTTGAATATTAGCAAGGGCTTTCAGTCTGCCTAATATCCACGTCTGGACCCTACACCCCCTCACCTCAGCCGCTAGCTCAGACCAAGTCCTCCAGACATGGAAATGTTCCCTCCAACTCACCAGCTAGCCCAGCTTGAAGTTTGCTAGTGAATTGTACATACACACACACAGGGTTAAATTCATGGAAGGAATATAAACGCACCTGGGTCTCTCCAGTTACAAGCACTTCAGCCTCTTCAGCCTGGACCTGATCCCTCCAGTTGGTGACACCCAGAACTACAGCCCTAGTGCCCATGGCCTCTCATCCAGTTGCTAGCATTTGGACTTTTCAACACACAGACAACACACACCCCAATCCCTCTAGCTGCTGGTGGTTAAACCTAGATGTCCTATGGCTGAAGTCCAGCAACCACAGTCCCTCCAGTTACTGGCACAGAGACTCTTGCACGTAGGTCTCTCCATATGCTAGTACCTAGACCCACAAGTCATAAGACCTGTGGTCTCCTCTGGCCATTGGCACATAGATCTGTTTTGCAGGCCAGTCTCTTCAAATTATGGCACCATTTCCCACACTAGTTGCTCTCTGATCCACTGTGATCCTTCACCTTTTCTTTGGATCCTTTGGCCCTTCCCTAAACATCCCATACTCATTTTTACATAAGTCCACAAGCCTCTTCTGATAGCCCATATCCCAAGAAGCAGCAAGTTTCCCATAATAGTCATGTTAATCACGTTTCCCCCTTCCTATCAGTTAAAAATTGCTATTCAGGTTGACATTCTTGAAGGCTCTGCCTGAGTAATTCTTTTAATGGACAATCAATCAGCAGCTGAAGCATTCTGGGTCCTCATTATTGTCTCTCTTGTGACTTTCTCATTAACATTTGTGTGTCCGTGTGATTACTTTGTCACTTTCTTCATTATCTGTTATTTCTTTATAGTGAGCAGATCACAACTAAATAACTTAATGAACCAGATACTCCCACACTCCATATACTCTCACACTACCAACTGAGAGCCGTTGCAGGATTCAGAACTGCTGGGTACCCTGTGATTATAGGGTCCAGCTCCCTTTTATTATAAACATCTGCATCATGATAAGGTAGGAAATGTAGACTTCAGCATGTTGATTGAAAGTCAAGATTCCGTTTCACATGTTTTCTTCACATTCAGGTAAACTTAAAGGACAGGGCAGGCATGTCACACTTCTTTCCATTTTTCTTCATTTCACAGGGATGCACAACACTGTCAGACACTTCACTGACTTCAGCACAGTCTTTTATCCTGATGATGAATTAATTTCCAGGCTTTACAAAACTTTATCATGATGGTTGAGATAAAAGTAATAGAAATAATGATGATGAAGTTTTTCAGTGATGTTCATCTTCTGTCTTTAATACTTGTTTGTATTATCTTCAGAAGGATGTTTTATTCTAAATTGAAAAATAAATAGAAAAAGAAATCCACATCTTAAAAGTGTGCAGGGAAGGGAAATATGTGTATAATGTAAGAGTGTTACATGCAAAGAAATCAAAATTATTTATCATAAAGTCGTAAAGAAGTGTTAAGTACCTGGCATTGCACAGAGGTGCTGCACTTCAGCAGAATATCACACAATTAATATTAATACAAAATTTAAAATGGAACTCTGCTGTCTGGAAGGCAATTCCTCTTCAGTTTGCTTACATAATTTCACCTGTGCCTTGTGAGTACCTCTAAGCTATGACACTCTTGCTATTTCCAACTTGAAGTCTCTAATCTCAGAATCCACGTGCCTTGGACTTTATGAGATTTCTTATAAAAATCTGCCTAAATGCTGTTCACTAATAAATATTCACTAATAAATATACATTCACTAATAAATATATTCACTATTCAGTAATAAATATATATATATGCATGAGTGTGTATTTGCTGAAAGAAGCAAACTACTTACTTCTAGAGCCAGGCTCTCTCCAGCTTCCTTTCCTTTCCTGTATTTCTTTTTAAGGCACACTGCAGTTGTGATAGTGACAATAAGCATTACAACAAATACAGATATGGTTGAAGAAACAGCTATTACAGTATTTTCGTGAGTTGAGCCTTTCCTTTCACACTTTTCTCCCATGTACCACCAGTTGTCACCTACTGGACATCTAGAAAATAAAAGAACAAACACATGCCATCACCTGAAGATTAAAGGCCTGAAAAGCTCTGCTTATGAAAAACATCATCTCTGATGCACTGTTTCTATATCCAAAGCATAATGAAGTTATCTTAAAATGGACTTCTGTTTTAAAGTTGATTTGAATGGCCCACGGCCCTTATACATGTGGATGTGCTTCTTTCAGCTTCCTGCTCTTTTACAGGTCAAGTCTTCAGAGAGAGCCTTTGCCAGAAAACCCAAGCACCATCCTGATCCTTTTGACTGCTTAAGGCTGGGCCGGAGCTGATCTACAGAATCTTTTGCTACCAGTAGAGAAGCCCTCTGGACCACTCAGTTCACTTATCTGCTTTCTTTCCTTGAAATTTGTGTTGACAGAAAACTTTCTTCTCCACAAAACTGATACCTGTCGCTAGGAACACTGCCATGTAATATGGTCCTAGTGACCACTATTGCTAGTTACCCTCATATCCTGATGTAGTTCTGCCTTTTGGCATGCTCAGCTTTTACACAAAGCTCTTCTATCTGCATCACTCAGTTAATTTAAAGAAGCTCTTATATGAAGAGTTGAAGGAACTGGTTCAGGTTCCTAGGGCAACTAACCCAACTGCTATTATTGGCCAGTCAAGCCACATTTACCACTTCCACGAAACTTCATCCACCTGTTTCCTCACATGTTTGTTGCTTTTTTAATTCTCAGCTCACCTTAAGCAGCAATTAGAATCCATGAGATAAATGAGGTGGAGAGCTTGCACTAGACTCTCAAGGCATTGCTGACCAGATAGGAGCTGAACCAAAACTTAGGTGCAGGAATTGCCCAGTTCTAGGATGGATTCAGCTGAAGATTTTCCTACTACATTCCCCCTGTCCCTGTTCAGTGCCTCTCCACTAGTAGATGTGGTACGTTCTGATCAGAGCTCCTCATTACCAGAAGGGGCTTATTTTCTAATTCAAAGAACTTGTATGAGTTGCCTCTGCCCTCCCCCAAAGAAGGTAAAAAAATAAATTAACTTCCTTGTAGTAATCTGGTATTAGGACTAAAAACAACCTCCAAGCTTTGATTCCTTCACCTTATCCAGCATCACTATCAGCTCTGAAACATTTTGTAGTGAGCATATGAGGGTCCCAATGACCTAAATGAAAAAAATATATGTGCAGTTCTGTCCAGCGCACACCTACCCCTATCATTCTAACCCTGGTTGCTCCTAATGTTACTGGTTTTCTCATTCCTGTCTAAACTACTTATTCAGAACTATACATTAGTCCATTTGCAGTGGACTGCGAGGATACTGACTGTTGGGGGACTTCTGGTAATCTGGCTTGAATGGTTATGTATCATATCCCTCCTCATTCCCCAACAGACAATTGAGGGGGAGACGGACTTGTTGGTCACACACTTCTCTAGGACAGAAAGTAGGTCACATAAACACCTAGAGCTTCAGATAGCCCAGAGATGTCAGAAAATAAATGTTCCCTTTCCATAATTTTGAAATTGGGCATAACATTCAGCAAAACTTTTTTTTTTGTCTTCTTGGAACCGCGTCTTGACATTTACTCATATTTGTGACCTGCTTCTGATGGGTTGCACAAGAATTCTTTTTTAAAAGGTTTCTAAATGGGGAGATGTAACACTCAATGAGTCATTCTGACTCTTGTTGCTCTCAGCCTTCAGACGTTTGCCTCACAGCACTCCCCGTGTCTACCTGCCCTGGCACAGCATCACATGAGGTTACTGTCATAGATTCTTCAGCCTTAGAGCTTATCTGAGGGCCGGAACAAAGCTAATCAGCCAGGTAGGTTACATAAATGTATCCACAAAGAATTAAACAAAAGTCGATATTAATTTTTGAGCAGGGCAAACCATCTTTTTAGTCCTCATCCTTCATTGCTGGTTTCCAAAGCAAGCAACTACTCTTTGGTAAATCATAGTCATAATTTGCACTACACAATATTTCTGAATCAAATTCTGAAATAATGTCTATGCTGTTTCCTGCCTGAGAAGCATTAAATATCTTTTCTACTGATATAGATGCTTTTCTGTTTCAACTACATTTATATTTAACTCTTCTAAATTTTGCTATAGGGACTTCTAAGGAAATGCACAGTTCATTTTATAACATTGGACTAATACATTACTGAAAAGTATGAACACATTTTTAATGTAATTTACAGAGAAGTCAAGCAGTCAAAATGTTGAAATGCTGAGGTTAGGAGCTTTGTTACCCAAACATAAGTTTAGTCTCACAGTAACAGTTGGAAATATTTGTCTTAATCAGCTAAAGTTTATCTTTCCTTCCATTAGGAACCAAGACATATCTATAGAAACTTTTATTACTCATCCTAAAGTTGTATTTGAGAGTGAATAAAGCCAGTTACCTGCACACCGGTGCTCCATCTACAACAATACAGACACCATCATTTTCACAAGGATTGTCTGGACAGAAATCCGGAGCCTCTACCCCTGGCTCTTTGGTCGTGACGATAGAGGTTGTTGTGGTCACGGTAGATGTAGTGGTGGGCTGGGTGGTGGTGGTGGTAGTGGGCTGGGTGGTGGTGGTGGTGGTGGTGTGAGAGGTAGGATTGATGGTGTTGGCAGTGGATGTATTGGTAACAGTGGTGGGTGAAACACTTGGCTGAGTTGATAGGAGATGTGATATATCTGCACAATAAAAATAACAGAAATAAGGTCTTTATGATATTTTTCCTCTTATTCTAATGATAAGTTCTAATATCAAAAGCAAAGAGCCTGATCACAGTTATAAATGGATAAACAGTCTTCTGTACCTTTCAGGACTGATGTATTTTGGAAATATCCTTTAGATATTTTCAGAAACAGACAATTTTATTCAAAGCACTCTAATCAAATTAATTTGCACAGGATTACCATCATTTTATACACCTTCACATGACATAAAGGAATTATACAGTGCACGTATCTATCCCTAAATTCATTCAAACTTATGATTTGACTTCAGATACATACATAGTTCCGAAACTACTCATGTGCAAAGTACACAACATGTATTTATATCCACAGCACTAAGGATTTAGTAAATATGTGACACTCTGTGTTTGCTGTATTGCAAAGAACATCAGCTATGTTTACATACCTTCCATTGTTAAAAGAATATAAACACTGTCTTCTTTAATAAAGTTGCGGCTTCTAAGTCTCTGATGCGTTAAAAATGCGCTGGTTCCACTTCCTGGACCTCTCATGAATGTAGTTCCATTGGGAAAAGATGTTATGTTTCCCACTTTATCTGGCCTATCCCAAAAGTAAGTTGATGAAGAATCTGGAAAAAAAAAATAACTGAATGTGAGTGTAGGACCACTCTGGATTTCTTTCTCAGTAAGGTCCCTTCCTTCTCAGATAATCTCTGCTGCAAAGTAGTACTGAGGTCTTTCTTACCAACCAGGACACACTGTATCTCACTTCGACTGCTTCTGCTTAGCTGCTTGTGGATATCATGAAGTGGACAGTAAACTACCTGAAACCCAAGGAATAGGAGCAATGATGAACCTGTCTACAATACCTGCAGATTTTTTTGTGTGAAATTCCACACTGATGAGATGCACAAAACAATGGATAACTTCAACAGCTTGGTTTTGCCTGAGGTATTGAGAAAAGAACCTGCTGGAGATAAGGTTATTGGAGAGCTAATAGCAAACTGTTGTATTTTCTTTTTAGTTCTTTCAAAGCATAGTGGTCAAGAATATGAGTAGCACATGAATCATCTGTAAAATTAATTGCTTCTCAAAAAAGAGCATCTCTTGATGTTGATGTAGGGCAAAGGGTAGTTGGACCTGAAAGGTAACAGACCACTGATATCTCCTCCATCAAACTGTTCTAAATCTCAAAGCTGAGTTGGATTGTCTGTGAAAGTATCTGACAGAGGAAGAAGAAACTGCATGCTCCAGCACCACTGCTGGTTAGAGAAAGGCTAGGAGTTACAAGGCTCCCCTTGGGAATCTGGGGCTACTAGCAATATATGAACAAACAAGGGAGAAGGAGCAGCATGCAGACTGCATGCCCATAAAGTCAGGGAAGCAAAAGGGCTAAGCACTGCGGCGGTAACTGCAGAGAGCACAAGGAAAATATCAGCAATCTATGGAGGACCCGATGAGGTGCATCTTTCATTTACAGGGAGGACACTTAGCCTTCCTAGATTGCCCTCTTCATTTTTCCATAGAGACAGCATCACAGAAAAATGAATATAAATCGTAATTTTAAAAATAATACTGTGAATTAGACATTTCTGTGCCTTACTTCCTTCTCCAATGTTATGGTCTGAATGCTCAGGAAACTAATTCAGTAGTGGAGGTGGTTTCTTATGGAAAAGGCCTTATATTGATGCAGAAAGTAATTATGGCTTAAATCCAATCTTTATCCAATGATAAAGATTCATAGAGATTCCCACCATATCTTCACCTCAGCTGCTTTCTTTCCAGGTTATTGTAGACAATTGCTCCTTATCTTCTCACACCTTGAATGAGTACAAATTATGTAATATGAATCAGTACTTTGTCCAGCTGGAGATTTGCGCTGACACCACTGTATCTTTTACAAGGAGGGCAGGGATTTGTTTAATAGCTGCAATTTTATCTGGTATGAACTGTCTGTATTGTTAATTCAGTAGTTTCCAAGCCTTCTGCAAAATTTCCATTCTCATTAAAGCAGATATAAATGCATCTTCACAGAGCATATAGGAGAGGGTCATCCACCTGTCTATTATGCAAACCAGCTTTGAAATCCAGGGTCCCTACCTGTAGGTTCAATTTCGACCAATCGTGGTGTTGCTGCAAACCAATGAAACATTCCAGAAGCTAAAACACTTGCACTAACCTACGCAAAGGGAAAATTTGACTCCTTGTCTTTTGGCTGTATTTTAAAAGAATGGGATAGCATGTCTGATTTTAACTAACCTGATAATTTCAGGGGGTCTGTTGTTATACTTCTTTGGTTTGACATCTGTTGGCGAATATCAGGATGCTGGTCGAGCAGAATCACGGTACCTTGTTGCCACGCACAGGGCCATTGCAACTGGTCATCATTTGCTCCAGAAATCAAGTGCAAATACATTGCTAAATTAAATGGGTTATCAGTGGTGCCATTTATATACAAGCTGACCTGAAAAGCATATCCTTTACTGGAGTAAAAAGGTGGACTGTATATTCTTCCTTCTGCCCCTGCTGGGCTTGTATCGAGAAGATATGTGAAATTTCTTATATGCCAGATGTGGTGAGGACACTGAGTTTCTGACAAGTTGATGTCATCAATGGAGAGGCCTCCATTTGATAAGCCACTTCCTTTCACACCTTGAAACACAACCCGGAATTTACTTGTGACATTCAAAGAAACATGATGGAGCTGCCAATAAGTTGCAGGTGAACCTGAAAAACAAGTAAGCAGTACAGTCAAACACTACGCAATTCTACAGAGCCTATAACAATGCTGTGTAAGAATTTCTTAGTTCTACTGGCATTGACATGATGGAATATTTCTCCTGTGATTTTTACTTTTTCAGAGCAAGGTCATATTTTTTCAGTTCAATTATTCAACAGATTTAATATGCATACCAGCTCTTTAGAGTTGTTTCTTTATATTTAAATGGCTTTGTCGGAGGTTTGCCTATGCGGAAGCACTATTCACCCATCAAATGATTAATGGCACTAAGTTCAAATTAAAGCCACTCATTCGCAAAACCTACTTCATGCGACAAAACCTCCCTGTGAGTCTGCTAGTGCATCCTAAAGTGTCTGCACTGGCAAATTCCACTTGGGTACCAAGAGCAGTGTACACAAAAGCAAAGACCTGCACAGGGGACTGTACGGCAGGCGAAACTTTGTTAACAGTTTGTGTAGCAAAAGAGTTTCTTTCACTGTCTGGTTTATGTTCACCTGCACAGAAGACCAGAACCCTGGGTACAGAGCTCAAGTTTCACTCTCCCAACAATTCTAAACAAAACACAATGGACCTCAGATATGAGTCTTAATTTCTTGACATTTTTCATTACCATTACACTTAGGAAAGGAAAAAAAAAACACATAAACCCAGAAACAAGAACATAAACACCCTACTGTTTTCCATTAAACTGCCTTCTGCGTAAGTCGAATCTTTTTTGAACTGCATAGATTATATGCAAGACTGGGGTTTCTGACTCATGTTCAATGAGCAGATCAGCTACTGCGCTGTAAAATGTCTCACCCCGAAAGCCTCCCCTCAGTTCTCAGCCGGAGGCAGCCAGAGCTGCCCTAGACCAGCACAAAGGGTTCAGGACTTGTCTCTCAGCAACTCGAGCACAGTGGCTGAGTGCAAACCCACGAGCAGCTCAACCAGGATGTCAGATCAAGGCTGGAAAGGGCTGTGGTGTCATGGTTCCTTCCAGTTTGTTGGCTGTGTTGCTGAAGGTAACTTCTGATATGAGAGATGTGAAACAGCTTTGGGTGAAAACTGATCTTAAATCATTCCTGTAAGTTTTACTAGAGATTGTCAAAGTAGGGTGCCCATTTGGACACACACGAGACCAGAGACATAAAAG